CAAGGAATGTCGGTGCCTCATTCCCTACTTCGTGGTCCACATCGCTCCAACCTCTGAATCCTCCGAGGTGGAAAAGGCAAAAATTGGGTTCTCCCCAGGAGGCTTCAGAAGGAACACAGTCCTATTTGTGACTGCAAGATATTAAATATGTTGCCAGGTGTGGTGGCTTGAGCCTGTAATCCCAGCACCTTGGCAGGCCGAGGCAGGAGGATGGCTTGAGCTCAGGAGTTCAAGACCAGCCTGGGCAACATAATGTGACCCCGTCTCTACCAAAAAAAACCTTTTTAATTAGCCGAGCATGGTGGTGCATGACTGTAATCCCAGCTACTTGGGAGGACAAGTGAGGAGGATCACTTGAGCCTAGGAGTTCGAGGCTGCAGTGAGCTATGATCATGTCACTGCACTTCAGCCTGGGCAACAGGGTGAGACCCTGTCTGTTTTAAGTCACCAAATCGGTAATATTTTTATAGCAGCAATAAGAAACAAATACACTTGGGTTTCTGATTCTTCTAGAAGTTGCTATTCTAATGGATCGGCCCACTGTGCTTCTCTCTGGCTTCTGACACCTCAAGTGAGCAGTTATTTTTCTATTCGGTGGGACTTAGGTCTGGTTGCTGGAAACTTATTAGCTGTAGGAATCCCACAGATAGCAAAAAGGCAGGGGTCTCAGGTCCTGTGGGCCTGTGCTTCACAGCAAGAGGCCTCACCACCCAGCCTCGAGGGCACAGCAGCCCCAGCCGCCCACTCGCTCCCTCCCCAGCCCCTGCGGTCTTGAGGCTGATGCTGAAAGGAACCCCTGAAGTTTACACAGAACCAACACCCAAGTCCTCCCTGGATTCTCCAATCCCAGGGCCTTGTCCCTGGTCTTGTGGGCTCCCCGGGGCAACACAAGCCACTGGTGAGAGAGACTTTGGATCTCTGGCTCTCTCAACAGGCCCCAAGGCCTAACCCACAGCCCATGAGTTCCACGTCCCAGCAGTCACGTGGTTCCATGCCCCATTCAGGCTGCCATGTTCCCAGAATCCCTAGACACAATCTCACTTAATCCTCCCAGCAGCCTTATGGGGGTGTGTGATCTCCATTTTCCAGGTGAGGAAACTGAGGCCCGAGAGGGTGAGTGCCTTGTTTGACAACTCCTCTTGCTATCCAGCCAGAATTGTTCCCCTAGTACCCCTTTTTGAGGCCTGGCTGTACAGGCGTCCCTCAGGAACACACACCCCCACTCGCCTCTGGGGGCCCAGCCCATCCTAATCCCCACCCCGGGGCTTCCCACCCCCATCATACACTCTCCACATCTTCTGTGGCTGCAACAACCTTTTCACTTGGCCAGTTAGAGCTACTGACTGCTCGCACAGGGTTTTAACGAAAATCCATGGTGTGCTATTAGCTAGGGAAACATTTATTCCGGTGTTGTCAGAGAACCTTGGACAGAAAAGCTCCTCTTGATGTGTGCGCTGTACGTATGTGGATGCGTGTGCGTGCACGTGTCTGTGTGTCTCTATGCATGTGCAGACGTGTTTTTGTCTGTGCACACATGTGCCTACATGTGAACACATCTTTTGTTATTAAAGACTGTTAGAAGAGTCTCCTGGGTAATTCTAACCCATGTATGACTGCAGAGAAGAAAAAAACCCCACACCTTTTTTTTTTTTAATCACAGCCGTAAATGGTCCTTGGGTTTGTGTGCCCCAAAATTGAGATTTTTTTTCCAACTGAGAAGGGGAGTGAGTGATAGCTACCATTTACCAGGTCTCACCTCCTTTTACCCTGCGGAAAACCTAATAAGAAAACTGATTTTTTTTTTTTTATGTTCTGGAAAACTCCAGCCCCAAGGGGACTTCTGTTCCTCAAAGCCTCCAAATTCTCCCTGCCTTGAGGCACGTGCTGTCCCTGCTGCCTGGAGCCCCCTTTGCAGACTCTGCTTGGAGGAGCCCACCTACGTCCCCGTCTGAGGCTCTCACCTGGCCACTGCCATGCCTCTGTCTCATCCCTGCATGAGATCCGTCACTCTGTCTCATCCCTGCGTGAGACCTGTCACTGCCTGCAACTGTCTGGGTTGTGCATTTGTTTACTTTCTCTTTGTCCATC